TGGATGGATGGATGGATGGATGGATGGATGGATGGATGGATGGATGGGTGGGTGGATGGATGGATGGATGCATCATCATGTAAACCAGCTGTGCAGAAGATTAACGGTTTTCTTCGAGTCTTTAGAACCAAAGGAACGCCTCTTGGCGTTCCTCCAAAGACTCCCGACTCTTTTGAACTCCTGCAGCAAAACGCCTGCAAGCTTCTGGAAAGTGACGACGCGGGGCCTCACTTCATGGCGTCCCCTCAGTGCGTCGGCTACAGCCGTCAGACGGCCCTCCCCCTCACCGCCACCATGTGCCTTCCCGACCTGACGGAGATCCGCAGGGCCGTCAAACTGTGGGTGAAGAAGATCTCGGCCCGCTCCGTCTTCGTCGCCACCGACTCCGACTCCCACAGGGACGATCTCGAGAAGCTCTTGAAGGGGAAGGTGGGTTCATTTGAGCGTTCAGCGTCTGATCTGCAATACGAGATCCTAAAGGCGCCGTGCTTTGGTCAGAATTTGTAAGAGTGACGGGACCGGGGCTTTTCAGTGAAGTCACTGGAATGTGTTGACCGTCGGTTTGATTCCTCCGTCTTTTGTAGTACAGTAGTCCCTCTCTACTCCGTGGTTCGTTTATCACAGACTCGCTGTATCGCGGTTTTTCAAAGTAAGATTGGACATGACACACAACTGGCCGATTGATGGATGAGCCGCACGATCTGCGTGGAATTTTTATTTAAAATAAATGTTAAATTATTTAGCAGCTGCTGCACATCTGTGGGAGAAGCTTCCTCCTGCAGCTGATCAGCTGATCTCTGCTCTGTACGGAGATCAGCTCCTGGAGAAGTGGGCGTGGCCAAGAGTGCAGCCGGAGGCAGGGAGCAGAAATCATGACATTCGGTGTCTTTTAGAGCGTTTAGACTTTAGAAATATTTTTTTGAATATTGCAAGAGTGTGGGAATGATTTAAAACTTATCTATCCATCTATCTATCTATATCTATAGATATATAGATATAGATATATATATAGATATAGATAGATATGTATATAGAGATATATATGTATATATAGATATATATGTATATCTATATATACATATCTATATAGATATAGATAGATATATAGATATAGATACACACACACACACGATAAAGATGAATTTTAATTTGTTCATTGAATTTAAAGTTTTAACCCAAGTTTGAAACTCAAGGAAGTTGTTAGGAGCTAAAAATGAGTTTATTATGAATCTTTGATTAAAATCTCTTCAAGCATCAATGCTGTCTGCTCCTGACCCTGCTGCTGCCCTGGGCTCAAGGTGGCCCACAAGCCGTAATGTTAAAACGGAGGCTCTGTGGGTCACGTTGGGTCAGCAGCAGGTCTTTAAGAGTTGCACAACTTTAGCTCTTGGTGTTTGTTTTCTTCCCGTCTTCAGCTAGTTGTGCTTTTCTTTGGTCCTTCTTGCAGGTGAAGGTGGTGACTCTCCAGGAGGACTCGGCCCAGATGGACCTGTACGTCTTAGGACGAGCCGATCACTTTATCGGGAACTGCGTCTCCTCCTTCTCCGCCTTCGTGAAGAGGGAAAGGGACGTCCGCGGCCTGCCGTCCTCCTTCTTCGGCATGGACGAGCCCGGGAGAGTAAACGGCAGAGAAGAACTCTGAGCGTCCAAAATGTCCACGTCGTGGACGATGGTGCTGGACGTGGAGGGACAAACGCGGCGCAGCGGGTTCGTTTTGGGTCCAGTTTTAAGTTGAGCTTAGGACCAAGCTGCTCGTCTTCAGGTTCAAGTTAGAACGTCTAATTTTTCCTAAAGGACACGACAGATGACACCCATGTTCTGAAAGGAAACCAGGATGAGCGAAGACAATCCACTGATGCATTTTGCACCGATAAAAACGACTAAATACGTTTAAAATGGTCGTTTAGGTAGTTTTTTTTATGTTTGATCAACAAATCTGTAGTTTTAAGAATCTTCTCCCTCAGCTTACTGTTCATTTGAAGTTCTGCTCCACCATTTGTTTTTAAAGTGTGACCAAGCTGACGATGTGCAACATCCAAACTGAACCGTTACCTTCACCTGTTGGTTCGGATCTGAATGAGAACCAGCTCAGGATGTGCAGCAGAACTGCAGAGGGACCTGCACGAGCTGAAGGCCAGGCTGGTCGTGGTCGCCCGCTCCGTGGTGTGTTCAGGCTGCTTCCGTCTGGACGCAGCAGCGATCAGGCTCCTCCACGAACAGCCCGTAGTTATTTCAGCTTCTTACCGTCTTTACAAGTGCAGATGTTTCAGTTCTGTCTGTGAAACAAATAAAGATTCTTGGACTTGTTTACAGAACGTGTGCCGTTACGAACCACTGAAACTTCAAACTCTGTGTCAGGAAAGAAAATAAACGTTTGGTGGGTTGAATGCCAAAGTGCTTCACATCACAACATTTAACAATCGATGCAAAAATGCTGGAGAGTTTCTACGTATTAAAAGCCCGCCTGAATTAAAAGGTCCAGGTCGGTGATGGATCTCTGGTCCTGACCCACTTGGTTCCACAGTCTGGGTGTTGACCGAAAAGGTCCGGTCACCCCAACGTTTGTGTTTGGACTTGGGGACAATCGGAAAAGAAGTATTAGTTGATCTTAGGGTCCTCGTGCTCACAGAAAGCCTCTAGTTTTAAATAAGGTGGGACGAGACCAGCACGCCCTTAAAAAGTGAATTAAAAAGTTTTAAACCAGTTAAAACAGACTGGAAGACACTGGAGAGAAAATACAACGGGTGATGTCTGGTGGTTACGTATAAAATTGTCTTGTATCTCGGGGTCTTGTTCACGAATGAGGGAAAAATGGAGCGAGAGATCGATGGGCAGATAGGTGCAGCGTCCCAAGTTTCTAACAGTCCGGACTCTGATGTCAGAGCACTCGCTCAAGGCGGACGCCTTTCCCTCTCCCTCCCCCTGTTCTCCTCTTCCTCCTGTCTTGGAGCTCCTGTTACACATCTTCCAAACGAAAACAAAAAAAATACTGTTATGGATCTGATCAGCTGAACTTAACGCAATCAACAAAACGACAGGGTCCTGGAGAGCCCTCATGTCCTGCTGAGACTCACGCTGCAGGACACGTTATGGACCCGTGGGGGGGGTGGGAGCGGATGCGTCTTTCAGTTCTGTCTCAGGAGGACACCAAAGACGTTTATATAATTGGATTCATGATAGCAGGGTTCCACTTTTTGGCATCGGCAGGTTCCTACGTTATCGGCTTGAGGAAGCATCGGCAGCAGTTGGTCATGACAAAACTGTCAAGTAGGGGTGCACCGATAAATCGGCCCCGATTTCTTTAATTTTGGGGAATCGGAAATTGGCCGATACTTGCATGAGAAATCGATTTTACAGGATTTTTTTTAGTTTTCACAACAATTGTCTGAACTTCATTTATATTTCAGAGCACTACCTCATGGCCAGTTGAAACAAGTTTGTTTTGTTTCTAGGATATTGTTCAAGGGTCTGTTTTTCAATAAAATAGTATGTTTCTGTCAGCTGCTCTCTTCTTCAGGGGTCACCACAGCGAGCGAACTCGCATGAGAGATTTGGCAATTTGTTTTACACCGGATGCCCCTTCCTGATGCAACCTGGGCTCGAACCCACAACCTCAGGATTACTAGACCGTGGCACTGACCACCGAGGTACTGCAGCCCATGTTTTTCAATAAAATAAGATTTGAAAATTGAAGGTGCATTGTGACCTTATAACACCCGACAGTGTTGATTATAAAACAAAATCGGAATCGGCAGGTCAGGCTTTTTAGAAAATCGGTGATCGGCCAGAAAACTGCAGTTGGTGCACCCCTACTGTCAAGTCTGTGTGAAGGTTTGGTTCGTGCTTCGAGTACTCAAAACCAGCTGCTTTAGGAGTTAAACCGTAAGATGGAAGCGATTTGCGAGAATCACAGGCCACCTGCGGCTTCTGGGATTCACCAGCATGTTGGAAACTACCTAGAATTGGGTGCATTCACACCAGCCCTGTTTAGTCCGCTTTAATCGAACTCTAGCTCGTTTTCCTAGAAAGTCCGGTTCGTTTAGGGAGGTGTGAACACGCCATCGAACTCTGTCACGGAACAAAAAGGCGAACTCTGGCCTGGGCTAAAACCTAAGTCTCGGTCCGGTAGAAGCGAACTCCAGCGCGGTTCGAGTGCAGTGTGAATGTAAACGGACCGGACCCGCTCCGCAGGACAAACAAACACGCATTTCTCTTATATGGAGCCGTCAGCTGCCTTGTGTGGAAAAACAATATTCTCCATAGTCTTCTGCTCATGCTAAGTCCATTTTTGAAAAATGGACAAAATAGAACTCTTAAAACTTCGATTTATATTTACAGAAGAAGACGTGTCTTCAGAGGTTTTTGAGTCGTTTCTTTCAGTAGTTCTTGGTGCAGCGCCCCCACAGGCGAGCGGGGGAACAGGTTGGTTCAACAGGTTGACTCGACTGCAGAGTGCAGTGTGAATGCAAACGCACCAGCTCAAATGTAACAAAAGGTCATGAATATTGGTCCCCAACCGAACAGAGTCTACCGGACCGTCTGGTGTGAAAACGACCTTAGTCTCATGGCACAGACCAGTGCAATGCCCACAAATCCGGCCATTTTGGATCTTGATGGTACCAGCAGGACGTCTCCTCCCCCACATTAAAACCAACTTTCAGTTTCTGTCCGTAGAGCGGACACATGTCCAGTTTTAAGACTTTAATAAATCCCATAGTTAGGGTTGGCTTATGCTGCTATAGACTGACTACTAGAGGACAAACTGACCTCATTTCATTAAATGAATTGTTAAAATTGAAGTTTTCATTTCCCTCTCAACATGAGATTCTTGACCTGCCATTGTGTATCTGTTCCTCTCAAACCCAGCCAGTCGAAGCAGATGGCCACTTGTCCTCAGCCTGGTTCTGTTAAGAGTTTCTTTCTCATGGAGTTTTTCCTTTCCACTGTCGCCTTCAGGTTTGCTTAAGATCAGAGTTGAACTCCATCACAGAACTCTGAGCAGTCTGCTCCTCAGATAATTTTAATTATTTTTATGTATGAAAGTTTCAGTGCTTTGAGATGAGTTCTGTTGGGACTTGGAGTTTTAAAAATAAAAACTGAATTTTGCTGCAGGGTGGTTTCAAGTTGGACTTAACACCCCCCAAGTGTCATTTCTGTCATCTGTGAACATGTCATGGAAATCCATCTTCTGACCATAAAATCCATGAACAGACTCCTCCCATCAGAATGTCATATGGATATGCATTTGAAAATAAAGATCAATAATTTATTATAATCTTAAAATTCTATATGCATAAATGCAGATATGGCAAGTCTTAGCCATTACGGTCTGTATTCATACAAGAACTCCAGATGTTAACTTTCATTTAAGACTGTTAATATAAAATAAATAAAAAAAACGCTCACTCAGATAATCTAGCACTCTGACAAATTATTTGAGGAATTATGTAGAATGTTAGAGAAATACTCATTTTACTTTACATATTTGCCAATTTTCATACCACTACTTTTACTTAAATCTATGATGTTAATTGTTTAAGCATATGTTGACCTCAGGAGTATGACAAGATATTTTTACATGTTTATATGAATCATCGTCATTTGTTATTCTGTTCTTGGTTTCTGTACGTTCAATAGTTCAATATAAAAAAAATAAATAATGTTAGTGTGGTTTGGTTAGCAGGTCCCGTCGGCAGCTTGATGGCAAGGAGCACAGCAGCTACCCTCCAGAACCGGGTCCGGCAGATGGAGAACATCCAAGGTTTCCCCACAGAACCGAACGGGTCCATAGAGTTGGGTCCGTGCAGGCAGATGATCATGGAGACGGCCGCCATGACGGGTCTGAGCCCGAGGCTGGAAGGACTGAACCACGATGGCAAGGCAGCGACAGGAAACTCCACAAGTGTGTCGTGGTCATACACGTACCGTGGACGTGCATTGTAGGCGCAAAAAATATAAATAAATAAGCTACCGCTTGGCTGAGCACGGCCATCTTGGCTCCCCCAAACAACCAACAACAAACAAAAAAGTAGAAATTACTAAAATGCTTTATTATATAAACCGTAAAAACACTCAAACATTAAATTATTAAAATTCAGTCTTTTTGGCAGACGGAGCCATTTTGGCTCCATTCAAGCATTGATCGCACAGATGGCCGAGTTTATGAACGAGAACTGGTTCATCTTCTCGGAAAAGACCCACCTAGAAAAGAGTCAAAACCACATCAAGCTCTGCCGCAACAATTCATTCAACACATCCGCCACTTTTCTGCCATCAGGTCATGGAGGCAACAAGTCCAGGAGAGAATCAGACCTCCCTATTCCTCGCTCCTCCTGGGGGGATCCCAAGGTGTTCAGGTCCAAGAGGACCTCCAATCCCTACAGCGAGTTCTGGGCCTTGCCACAGTGGACATGCCCAAAAACCTCCAAAAGGACGAGTTCTAATCTGCTGAAACATCCGACTCTGGGCCAGGGAGCAGCTCTACTTCAACGTTTACACATTTATAAGTTTAGAATAAAAGATGCAATTTTATACATTTGTGTTGGGGCCACAGCAGAAACACTAATGCACACGAGTACAAGTTCTTTAAAAAAAAAAGATTTTAAGAAAAGAGACTAACCTGTCCGTTTTCGTATGATATTCCAGAACTGGTTTTCGGCCCGTACCATAGGTTTTGCATGCCAGCACATAGATGATGCCGCCAACAGCAGCACACTTCACAGCTTGTGGATGTGGCATTGATGCACAGTCGCACCACTCCTCCGTGACGAGGTCGTACCCCTCAATCGATTTTAAGAAGCCTGGGGGGAAAAAAAGGTAAATAAAAAAAAGTTAGAGCTACAGTTTAGCTGCTATTCAGAACTTCGTAGAGTTCTATCTACCCTGTGGACCCTGTCCTCCAACTGCATAAATCCTGTTCTGGACCACCACCAGACCATGGTTCTTCCTGGCTTGCCTCATGGGGCGTAACTCCGTCCACCTGAAAACGTTGCAGGTAAACTTGAGTCAATCATTGGATGTTCATTTAATACAGATTGCTAGAGGGCCACATTCATTCAAGATGGCCGCCATAACAAAGGGGTTACAACTCAGTCATGTTTACGAACGTTGAGCTACAACTTGATGGGGCAAGTAGCTGAGATTCAACAAACTTATTTGGAGCCACTTGTTGCACGAGATCTTTGCTCAGCCATTAAATCGTAGTCTGTTGAAGGCAACCCCAACTGGAAATTTCATGAACCAGTAGACCAGTGTTGAATACGTCAAGTTCTGAGACAAAACCACCCGGAATAGAAGGACTCCCATGTCCATATGCTCTTTGCGAACTTTACATCCACCTTCAACACCATGATCCCCCAAACCCCGATGGACAAACTACTCTCACCAAGACTGAGCCTCTCCATTTGCAACTGGGTCCTAGACTTCTTAAACAGAAGTCTGAGGATCCACAACTTCACCATAACCCTCAGTGCCGACTCCCCTCAGGGCTGTGTGCTGAGCCCTCTCCTGTTCACGCTGTTCACGTATGATTGTGCAGCTACCCATCCAGGCTGTCACATTGTAAAGTTTGCAGATGATACAGCGGTGGTGGGATGCATCTCAAACAATGATGAGTCCAGCTACAGGCAGGAGGTGGAACACCTGGAGAGCTGGTGCAAAGAGAATAACCTTCAATGTGAAGAAGACAAAGGAGATGGTCGTGGACTTAAGGAGTAACATAAACACCTACACCCCTACACCCCCCCCCCCCCCAAAAAAAAACAAAAAAACAAAAAACAAACAAAAAAAAACGTAAGAGGATCTGTGGTGAAGTAGTCTCCAGCTTCAAGTACTTGGGTGTACACATGAATGACGCTGGGGCAACAACACCACCAGCCTGATCAAGAAAGCTCATCAGAGACTCTACTTCCTCAGGCGGCTGAGGCGAGCTGGTCTGGGAAGCTCAGTCCTCACCTCCTTCTACAGGTGTGCAGTGGAGAGCATCCTGTGCTCCAGCATCAACGTGTGGCATGGAGGCTGCACAGCTGCAGAAAGAAAAGCTTTGCAGAGAGTGGTGAAGGCTGCACAGAAGATGTTGGAGTCAGTCTCCCCACCATCACAGACATCTACACCTCCAGATGCAGGAAGAGGGCCACCTGCATCATGAAGGACCACACTCACCCAGCACACACTTTTTGCCCCGCTCCCCTCAGGAAGGAGGTTGAAGAGCATTAAGTGTAGAACCACTAGACTGAGGGACAGCTTCTACCCTGAAGATGTTACTCAAATCCCCAACCAGAATTATTATTATTTTTTTAAATCACTAATGACTAATTGACGATTTGACGCCTTTAAGCTGCTGATTTCATACTCCTCTGCTCACACAGGCTGCCATTTAATTTACCGCTTATTTTACATGAGTGTTTGTGGCATCTTAGGTCCTTGTGTACAGTTTACACTTTATATTTTTGCCATTTTTGGGTGCAACTGGGACCTCGAGTACACAGTTTCACTCCACCTCATGTACCACATGTGATGCGAATGACAAAGTCTCCTTGAACGTTGAAACTAGATTTCAAGTGATTTTTTTTCCAAAACAAGGATCTACCCATCAAAGGACTCACTGTTGGGTGTTTGGGTTGTAGACCTCGAAGCGGTTGGTGATCTCCTTCTGGTTCCATCCTCCACAAATGTAGACGAGCCCCCTGTCCGCCACCGATGCATGGCAGGAGCGGGCGTTTAACATGTTTGGTTCAGTTTGCCACAAGTTTGTCTCCGTGTTGAAGCAGTCAAAGTTACAAGTCGAGCGACCTGCAAATCAAACATTTTCAGATCAGTACCGTTGGAGCATTTTCCTACCTCTGGTCAGGTCTGGAGGCAACCAGTCCAGGACATCCCTCCCAGCTTCTTGGGGACCAAAAGACATTTCCAGAACAGAGGGGATTTATCCATCTATTGAATTCTGGGTCTTCTCCCAGTGAAACATGTCTGAAAACCCTTTAATGGACGAGTTAAGGCATCCCGATCAGATGCCTGAACCACCTCAATGGACTCATTTCGACAGGTGCAGTGACTCGACTCAGAGCTCCCCGGCCGAGCCTGGCCACCCTACGAAGGAAGCCCGTAGGTGTGCCAGGATCATCTCCTTTCGGTCGCGATCCATATCATGACAGTAGGTCAGAGATGAACGTAGTGAAACCAGTGAATTAAAGAGTCTCTTCTGGCTTTGCTCCTTTTGCACCAGAGTGGTGCATCGCCCACCCCCATTACAGAGAATGACGTCACAATTTTTCCAGTCCATCTCTCGCTTAATGCTACCAATTTGAGACGCAGACCATGGTGGCCGGTCCATAGGGGCAGAGCCCCACCTAAATAATAAGTACTGATACGACCTCTACCTAAACCTGACCTCAAATCCAGGAGCTGGGTCCAGCTGCAGTGAAACCTGCTGAGACCAACAGTGGAGATATGTAGTTTTTTTTACATCCATTTGGAGCAGAAGGAATGGACCAGAACAGAAAACACAAGGGGGAAAGTCAAAGGACAGGAAGTTTCCACAAACATGAAAAGGACCCAATTTAAAACAATTCTTTTCAGGTTGGGTGTAGCTGATGGGGGTCGATGGTTGAAGCAGCGGTCTCGTGTTTGTGGGTTCGATCTTCACTTGAATCTACTGGATTCAGTGATTTTTTTTTTTATCATTAACTTCAAGTATTTTAGTTGCTTCACTGAACTTTTTCCTCCCATTAACTGTGGTAATCTGGAGTATTATGTCATAACACGTTGAGACCACTTCGACCCACCGGAGAACCCCCACCCCCAAAAAAAAAAAAATTTTTTTAACTTCTCATTTATGCACAGGAGCCATCACTGGACACAGATACTCAAACACCTTTGAGGCTAAAGACAGCGCCCCCCCCCGCCCCCCAATAAAAGAACCATGGCCTCACATTTGAGTCGGCTCAAGACCCAAAACAACTTTCACAGTACTGACCGCAATCAAGCGTTCCCCCAGATACGTAGATCTTCCCCCGGGAAGCACAGGCAGCCAGGTCCACTCGAGGTCTGGGCAGCTCTGGCTTGGAGAACCAGATTTTCTGCCCAACGCTGTAGCAGTCGACGCATCTGGTGCCCCTACTGCTCCAGCCGTTCCAGCCGCTCAACATGTAAACCAGGCCGTTGCAGTAGACCGCCACCGCTTCTTTGCATTCCCAAAAATCGCAGCCAATGGACGTCAAGCTGTAGTTCTGCACGAAGACAATTGTGCACCTTTTATAAAATGACCAAGGTCCAAAGAAATGCGTTAGTTAAACGTGTAAAACTTCAGTACTCTGGGGTTGAAGGAGTGGCCGAGTTTGGGCGCCGTGGTTTGCAACACAGCGACGCGCAGCATTGGTTTAAGGCGAGAATGGATCTTCATGGACAGGTCCTTGTGGTCCTGGCTGGGCGAGAGGTAGTACGTTAACCCACCTTGGACAGAGGAACAGGTGTTAACCCAGCAGGAACATTCTGCCAAAATCCAGATGGTCTTCCACAGCTGCAACCGTTGCCGCTCGTGCAACAGATTTCAAGCTTCGTTTACTCACTTATGAGCATCCTCAGGCACTTTTGGTTGTTCTGGACCAGGGGCTCGTGCTGCACGGTCTCAGAGAGGAAGACGTGGGGGATCAGAGGGAAGCAAACGCAACTCAACACCTCCTCTAGATGTTGCCGCCTGTTGGACAGGTCGTGCTTCAGCCAGAGCAACGCAGCTTCGTATATCTGAAAACCCAACAGCAAACTGGTTGATCCACTGTGCTAATACAAGACCGAGCTTGTTGAAAGATCTCAGACTGAAGAAGTCTTCTGGATAAAAAAAACGTTTCAAACAAGGACCCGTCCAGAGGACTAGTCCGAGTTCATCACAGCAGCATACCTTCTCCTCAGAACAGGACAGACTGTTGTGCTGCAGCAGTTTCAGGAGCCGACTCTCCTCAAGTTGAAGAAATTCAGAACATTTGACCACTTCTGTGAAGTTGTGCACAGCGAAGTTCTCCGCTTTAGCCTTCAGTCTGGGACAACTGATCAAATCTGCCAGGGCTGATACACCTGCGGGAGCAGAAACGTCACTGAACGTTTCCAGACGAGGCAGGCCGGCGTTTGCACCGGGAGAGGTCGTGCTCGTTACCCAGACAGTTGGAAGCGTTGATCCGTTCCCTCAGGAAGTCCAGGCACTTGGTCTTCACGGGATCAATCTGATACAGATCGGCTGTGAGCAGCAGCGACTGGACGTTGCCCTCGTTCACCGAGACCCTGAAACAAAACGACAGGAAGTTTCTGACGTGCTCAAGAACTTTACTGAAGAGTTTTAAGCCTCCGCCGGGCTTACCGGGCCGTGTAGAGATATTCAGTCAACTGCTCGACGACTTCTGGCTCAACGTCCCTCAGCTCCAACTCACGAGACGCCGACTCCTTCATGTTAGCTGGACCACAACACGTTCAATCATCTTCCAGGTTTGTGAAGGGCTCCAATCTCACCGTGTGAATGTTTATGAAGCATCGAGATCCAGTTTTCTTTGCATTTTTCTCGTTCCACAATTTTAATCCTCCAACAAATCAAATAAAAACGTTCAGCTCTTTCTGCACTTTTCTGCTGCGACTTCTGGTATCGGTGCAACTTTAGCTTTTAGAAATATTTAGCCTTTTCTGCCACTTTTTCCCCTCATAAAAATGAACCGAGCTCATTTTACATCCTTCAAATCTTTGGATCCGTTTACAACCTTTTACTGCCGCTTTCAATTTAGTTCTGGTTCAGCTTCTTTCTGCAAATTTAAACTTTAGAGTTAAATTTCAGACGTTGTGCTTTTTTTAGATTCTGCCAATTTCAGCTTGTTACGCTTTTTTCAGTTTGTTTCTGCTAGCTTCAGAGTTTTCTGCCCTTTCAGCTACTATTTAGCCGTTTTATGTCTTGCTTTTTCTAGTCAATTCCACATTTTTTTTGCACTCATTTCAACCTCTGAGCCTAATTCAGAAAAAAATGTGCTCTCCGCTTCCTTCTGGTAATTTCAGCATTTTAGGCTAGCAACTTTTCAGCTGTTTTTTTTTTTTTTTTTTTTTTTTTTTTGGATAATTTCAGCTTTTTATATGCGTGTAATTTGTTAATTAACAGAACAGCTGAATTTAATTTCCCTTTGGGATTAAATATTTTTGAATTTTAATAATTTATACCTTTGTGCTCATTTCTGTTTCTTTCAGCTTAATTGGGTAAACATGTTCCTTCTGCCAATTAAAAAAAAGTTAAGTCTGGTCCTCTGGACATTCAAAAAACAAAAAGCAGAACAAAAAAAATAATCCTTCTGCTTATTTAAACTTGTTCTACATTTTCAGCTAGCTTTTTATTATTGTTATTATTATTGTTATTATTATTATTGTTATTATTATTATTGTTATTATTATTATTAAGCCATTTTCAGTTTTCAGATTTATTCAAGTTTGTGGTAATTTCTGCCACTTTCAGCTTGTTCTGCTATTTCAGCTATGATTTAGCCGTTTTATGCTTATTTGGCTTTTTCAGCCAATTCCACTTTTTTAAAGTTCATTTTAACTCTTTCTGGTTTAAGCTTTTAACTACATTTCAGCTTTTTTTGTTGTTGCCAATTTCAGCTTTTTAGGTAACTTTACATTTTTTGTTCTCACTTCTGCTTATTTAAACCCAGTTCAGAAGATGAGTTTTCTTTCTGCTTTCTTCTGCTAATTTAAGTTTATTCTTCCATTTCAGCATTTTTGTTGTTGTTGTTAATTTAAGCTGTTTTTCAGTTAATGCAATTACTGTAGTGTTTAATCGTTTGAGCTGCTTACTGGTCAACATCAGGCGGAAGAAGTGACTGGCAGCAGCCAAAACCACTCGATGGGCAGGAAACCGTCTCCCCTGGACCACCAGAACCACGTCACAGAACTCGCCCTGCAGAAACTGACAGATGAAGCTGCAGGTCTTCATCAGGGGCGTGATGCTGAAGTCCTCCACCTTCTCACCTCTTTTCTGAAGTCGTTCATGACCTTCAAGCAGGACGACTCGTGGGAAGCTGGTTTGGTGGCACAGGTTCTGGCGGGCTTTGACGTGGGAGTCTTCCCTTTGGAGGCCATTTCTTCTCACCTGGCCGATTCTAAAATCTGTTCACACGGTTTTAAAAAGACAGTTTTAGCCACAATCAGAGAAAAACAGTTTGACAAAGTTAAAACTTCCTGGAACTTTTATTTGTTGGAAATTATTGCAAACGTTTTGGATGTTTGGGGTTCTTCTCTGCTCCAAAACACCTGATTCAAATGGTTCAATTAAGACTAATCAGGTGAGGAAACATTTAAAACCTGCAGGAGCCCGAGGGCCAGGGATTTTAATTCACTTAACCAATTTAAAAAATGACTGAAGGCAAAAATACAGAAGAACGGATTTTGATAGACCTTCAAAAGTCTGGAAACTTAAGACTTTCACACAATATTGGAAAGAAACGAGGAATGACTCAAGTCTTTTGCACATTTAAGTGTAAAGCATCGAATATAATTAGTTTACAAAGACAAAAGTTGCGGCTTTAAATAAAAATAAAAAAGTTTAAAGAATCTTACCTGCACTCCGACCGTGGACGGAAAACGCCGACGCGCCGGCCACGCCCCTTTTTAAAGCGCAGGGCTCGTTCATCATTTATCATAACTGCTGGAAAAGATGCGCAACCCGGATTCACTCTGGTCCGCTCCTTACCGGTCCGCCGGCGCTGAAAACAGACGTGAAGCGATGGCAACCCGTAAACGAGGAGTTTAAATGATAAAAACAAACAAACAAACAGCTCTTCGATCTGCAGGATGACGAGAGCAAGCGCCGTAAATGTTCAAATAAATGCGCAATCAGCGGCTGCAAAAGGTCTGCTCGTTATTGGTCCACCGCCACATTAACGAGTTCAAATTGATGGTAACGGCGGGGGAGGGGTTTAAGTATCATAACAAGTGCCGTAATTATTTGCATATACGCCAATCGGCGGAACCAGAATCGACACGAAGTCTGCTTCTTCTGCTCTACACCAGCTAGAAGTGATGACTAGCGGCGAGGAGGAAGTTTAAACTAATACCGTAATCATCGGAAGAGCGGCGCAATCCGCAGCGGAATTATTCAGGCTTTACAACAAGGTCTGCTCGTTACTGGTGCGCCGGCGCATAAATCATGTAGAAGCGTTAGAAAGCCGCGAGAGAGGAAGTTAAGTGTTAAATGGCTTTAGAAGCCTACAACATGACGTGTTGTCTTAAATAAACTGTTAGTCAGAGGCGGGTCTTCAGAGTGCTGTAAGTGTAGTGTGTCAATAATTGTTTACATGTAAACAATATACCATAAATCATATGAAATTCACCCGCCTCCTCAGAAATGGTGCGCCGCTACGTGCGCCGGATCATAAATGGTGCATACCCGGTGATTGTGCGCTCAACCGTTCGCTGGATGGCAAAGTGAAGTGATGGGAGTTTTTGGATTAACGAACTGGTACCGACGCTGGTCCGTGTGTCTCCACTGGTGAAGCTGCCGGTTCGTGTCCCGGTTCGGCGGACAGATGTGTTTGGGTCCCGGAGGGAGTTAGCCAGGTAATGCTAACAGGTTTGTAGCCGAGGTTACCGCGGTGTTTGCCGTTGCTAGGCCGGATGTTGCGCTCCAAGCTAACGGCTAACCGAGCCGCTAACTTTGACAGATTGTTGCTAAAGATTGTTGTTAACCAGTTTAACGGAGGAATGTTGCTAACTAACCACCTGAAAAACGTTCTTTGAGTTAACATTACCCTTGTAGATAGTTTGAGGTTGTAGCTGTTACCAATCCTTAATTCGAAGGGTTTAAATTGCACCAAAATGTCACCAGATTATCTCATTTAGGCTGTTTTATTTTTGTTTTTGACCGTTTTGCTGAACTAAAACAGTAAAACGGTGTAACTCAGCAGGAGTCCTCATCCTGTCTCTGTTTGTTTTGAGTTTCCTTCCAAGGACCCAGACTTTATTCCTATTTTAAAGCAGGTTTGTTTAAATGTAGGATTTTCCTACATTCCTTATAAAAAAAAAACACTTTGCTCTTGGCAAGAGTTGAGGGTTCGAATCCACCAGCAGTCACATGCCAAAGTGTCCCTGGGCAAGACACTGATCCCCTCATTTCCTCCGACGTGTCCCATCAGAGTATGAATATGATGAATCGCTGATTAGATGATTGTTCGATTATCTTTGTAGAGATCCAGCAGTGATGCATGAATGGGTGAATGAGGCACAGATTGTTGTAAACAGCTTTGAAAGGTTCTGTATAAGTTCAGTCCAGTTACCATTCTACTTTGTTTTTAGACACTTGCTGGTTTTCCCGTTTGTTTCTTTGGTCAACGCGTTACATGAATTACACTGACGGGGACCGGTGGCGCTTGCACCAGACTGGGATTTGACTTGAACCGGTCTTGAAAAGTTTGTTAGCACACTTATTTAATGTTGCCAGAAGTTTTTCTTTGAATATTTTTCGTGGAGGAGTTTAAATATCTGATCGTCTTGTTCCTGAGCGATGGATCAACGGATCCTCGTCCTCAGTAACGAGGACGTTGCTCCGATCGGCCGTGGTGAAGTAAGAGTTTAGTTGAAAGGTACAGCTCTGGATTTACCTTCACCTGTGGTCCTGAGGTTTGGATCAGGACTGACAGAACCAGATTCTGGATACAAGCAGCTGACACGAGCCTCCTTCTCGGGGTGGTCGGGCTCCGCCTTAGAGGAAGGGTGAGGAGCTCCATCATCTTGGGGGGAGCTCGGAGTAGAGCCGCTGCTCTGCATTGAAAGGAGGTTCATCTGATCAGGACACCTCCTTGCTACCTGCCTTTAGAGACCAGAACTGAACCCAGAACTCTCTGGAGGGATTACATCTCCTCTCTGGCCCGGGACCACCTTGGAGTCCTCCAGGAGGAGCTGGGGACTGTCGCTGGGGAGAGGGAGGTCTGGGTTTCTCTCCTGGACCTGTGGCCTCCTGGACCTGTGGCCTCCTGGACCCGACTACACATAAACGATAGAAGATGGAGATGAAGATATTTGTTGTTATTGTTTTCTAAAACTCATTTTTAGTCCTGTCTCTGCACCGGGAGGGAGTGTTTTTTTATGTTAAGCTGCTTAACTCTGACCTGTAAACTATTTTAACTCTAACGGCACCAAACAAACAGAACCAAATTTATTTTTGTTTCTTTGGGGAGTTTTTTTAATTTTTAGATACGTTGCCCACTCGCTCTCTCGTGTATTTATTTATTTATTTTTGCTTGAATAATTTACAGATCAATGCTGAGTGGCTCGATAAACAAACCATTCTTCTGAAAATGATCAGGTGCAAAAAAAGATACAAAAACCATCGAAAATAAAATGTTGAGCAAGACCACCTAAAAATGACCGAACGGTCCGGGTCCTTGAGGGTAAACTCCAAATTAAAAAGGAGAGGCTCAGTTTATCACCAACCAGGTGAAGTTTCCTGTTTGGTTGTAAAAATAATCAAACGTTGTTCTGTTTGCTCCAGACGTGTCCGATGTGGAGGTTTCTCTCAGCGAATCGCTCCTGAAGCTGCAGTTGGAGGACCCGAGGCGCCCAGCGGTCACTTCTGTCAGCTTCCCTCCTCATCATGTCCAAGAGCAAGAGCTCCGAGTCCGTCAAGGTGGTGGTTCGGTGCCGTCCCATGAATGAGAAGGAGCAGGCCGCGGGCTTCGGGCGCGTGGTCTCCGTTGACGTCAAATTAGGCCAAATCATCGTGAAGAATCCTCGGGAAGCCGGCGAACTCCCCAAAGTCTTCACGTTTGATTCGGTGTACGACTGTAACTCCAAACAGCTCGATCTGTACGATGAAACCTTCAGGCCCCTGGTGGACTCGGTTCTCCTCGGCTTCAACGGGACCATCTTTGCGTACGGCCAGACGGGGACGGGAAAGACCTACACTATGGAGGGTGTAAAAAAGGACCTGGAGAAGAGGGGGGTGATCCCAAACTCCTTTGAGCACATCTTCACGCACATTTCACGCTCCCAGAACCAGCAGTACCTCGTCAGGGCATCTTACCTTGAAATCTACCAGGAGGAGATCCGAGACCTGCTCTCCCAGGACCAGTCGCGCCGCCTGGAGCTCAGGGAGAGGCCCGACACCGGCGTGTACGTCAAAGACCTCTCGTCGTTCGTCACCAAGAGTGTTCGGGAGATCGAGCACGTCATGAACGTGGGCAACCAGAACCGCTCGGTGGGCTCCACGAACATGAACGAGCACAGCTCGCGCTCCCACGCCATCTTCGTCATCACGGTGGAGTGCAGCGAACTGGGGGTGGACGGAGAGAACCACATCAGAGTCGGAAAGCTCAACCTGGTCGATTTGGCGGGAAGCGAACGTCAGACTAAGACCGGTGCTCAGGGAGAGCGACTTAAAGAAGCCACGAAGATCAACCTGTCTCTTTCTGCACTGGGGAACGTCATATCGGCCCTGGTGGACGGCAGGAGCAGCCACATCCCGTATCGAGACTCGAAGCTAACCCGTCTGCTGCAGGACTCCCTGGGGGGCAACGCGCGCACCGTGATGGTCGCCAACATCGGCCCGGCGTCCTACAACCTCGAGGAGACCCTGACGACGCTGCGCTACGCCAACAGGGCCAAGAACATCAAGAATAAACCGCGCGTCAACGAGGACCCGAAGGACGCCCTGCTCCGGGAGTTTCAGGAGCAGATCGCCAGGCTGAAGGAGCAGCTGGAGAAACGTGTTGGGAAGAAGAAGAAGAGGAGGCAAAGGAGGAGGGACGGGAGCAACGAGGAGGGTCCAGAGGACGGGGAGACGGAAGACGACGACGACGAAGTGGGAGGTGACTACTGGCGGGAGCAGCAGGAGAAGCTAGAGAGGGAGAAGAAGGCCATCATGGAGGATCACAGTCTGGTGGCCGATGAGAAAGCTCGGCTGCTGAAGGAGAAGGAGAGAAAAATGGAGGACCTGAGTAGAGAGAAGGAGGCCGGAGAGATGCTGGCAGCTAAAGTGAAGGTGGGCGGTCCTACAGCGACACGTCGCAAACATTCATACTCAACCCTGACCCTAAACCCTAACAGTTAAACTTGTTTGAATGTTTGAATGTTTTCCTGCGTCCAGGCGATGGAGAGTAAGCTCCTCGTTGGTGGGAAGAACATCGTGGACCACACCAACGAGCAGCAGAGGATCCTGGAGCAGAAGAGGCACGAAATCGCCGAACAGGTAAAACGAGAGGAGATCTCCTCAAACGCACCAGAGTGCAATAAAAGGAGCGTTTCTTGGAGCAAAGTCTTGGAGAACGTGTTGGGGACGACTCTCAGCTACCACCACACCAGATGTTAGCTGAATATCGGTAAAACTGGCAGATGTGGCAGCCATCTTGGGAAATGGTTAATAAACCGATAAAACAATGTTGGCTCAGGTTTGTTCAGGTGGACAAATGCCAGAAGTTTGAACGTTGCGGCGTTTTTGTTCTCAGAAACGGCGAGAGCGAGAGATGCAGCAGCAGATGGAGAGCCGCGACGAGGAGACCCTGGAGCTGAAGGAGACGTACAGTTCGCTTCAGCAGGAGGTCGACATCAAAACCAAGAAGCTGAAAAAGGTAGCAAACCGGAGGAAGACGCCCGTCTGTACAAATCTGAATCAGTTCACACCTAACATGTTTTTAAACGCTCGATGTATCACGGTATAGTCTTCATCCGTCCGTCGCAAAGGTCAAGGTCAAGGTCAAATATACAAGGTCTTTGCTGGTCCGGGCCGTTGCCGGACATCGCTGTATAATAGTTTGTTGACGGGCGTGCAATGTTCCATACGAGGCACTTGTTGTTTTTATTTTAGTCTAAACATAAAAACAATCAGAACAAAGACTGAAGGAAAACTGAGTCCGTGATTTTCTGGGTTTAAAAAACTTCTACGGCTGTGGATAAATGAAACGTTTGGCTCTTTTCTTTTCATTGAATCATAAATGGTTTTAAAACGATTATGTTTGAAGTGAACTTAGCTGTGGAAAAAACGTGACAAGTCTGCGACGTTTAGAAGTTTCAGAACGAGTTCAGAGTAAAGTAAAATGAAGATTGCACAAAAATCAAATTTATGATACCGAAAGAAATGTTGCAGGTGAAACGATCGGTTTTGTTCTGTCCGATGTTCATCGGGTGTCTTAACTTCTCGCTGTGATTCTTTTTAATTGTTTTTTCCCCGTCGCGGTAACTCCGGTTTCTTTTCCACAGCTGTTTTCTAAGCTGCAGGCAGTGAAAGCAGAAATCCAGGACATCCAGGAAGCGCACATCAAGGAGCGCCAGGACTTGGAACAGACCCAGAACGAGCTCACCCGGGAACTTAAACTCAAGTATGAAGCAGATACAAGTCAGAGGTTTATGTGGGGCATGACCTAATGACTTACTGTCATTTCTGGTGTATAAGCTGCTACACACTTTGAACACTGCATCTCATGCTGTGACTAATTTATGGCTTAATATATATATATATTTTAAAATTTTATTTTAACGAGCTAACAATCTTCCTGCTGCCAATAATCATTATGCTTTTTCACACCCGGGCACTTGTGTAGCTGCCCAACAGACAACCCCTCTGGGGGAGGGTCTCCATGACACAGACCTGTACCTGTCTCACTCATGGTTACTGTGTGCTACTGAATGGACTAACACATAGTGAACACATACACTACGTAGTCTAAGAAGAACAGACTCATCACTGAAAAAAATCAATACTAAACAGATAACCAAAATAATTAAAAATGAAAATGTATTTTGCCCATAATCCCTCTCTGTGGCCATGTGACCAGCAGTCAACCACAATGAACCAATGAGGTACCGTACTATTACGAGGACCCCCCCCCCCCCCCACACACACAAGTGAGACATGCATTGATCAGACTACCTGTTTAAATAAAGTAAAAAAAAAAAAACTGAAACAGGGAGGGGAGGGGCACAGAGCATGTGACTCTCACCTGCATTGATCAGACTACCTGTATATGGTAAAGTAAAAAAAAAAACCTAGTCTGATTACTACTCTAACACACTCGCACTAAATTCTTCAGGCCAGTTATTCTGCGTCTCGTGTTCATCTGTTCAGCGATCATGGAAAACGAACAGAAATTCATACGATGCAGCTTTCAAGTTAAAAGCGATTGATCTGGCTGTCAAAGAAGGAAATTGACCTGCCGCCCGTGAAGTGGTACTCCAAACTGAGAGGGAGCAGGAGTCAAGTCAAATTTATTTATAAAGCACATTTAAAAACAGCAATTGTTACCAAAGTGGAGAGTGGAGCTTTATAAATAAATTTGACTTAACTCCTGCTCCGGAGCTCACATGACTCACGGGGAAAGGGGGAATTACCCCCTCACCCCCCCCGTTCGCTCCTCCTCTCCTTGTTTCATTGGTTTGGCTGTGACCTGTTCTGTAGTTTCATTGGTCAGATTGTTATTTATTTATTTTTTTTAACCTTCATCAGTCTCTTGGGGGTGGGTCCTCGTTTCTTCATTCAATAAAAAAAATTTCAATTCAGTTTATTTATACAGCGCCAAGTCACAACAGAAGTCGTCTCAGGGCACTGAACAGAAACATTTATATGTAAAAAAAACCAATAAGTTATCATTATTTATCTGAGGAGCAGACTGCTTTGAGTTTAACTCCATCGCAGAACTCTCATCTTGAGCAAGCAGGAAGGTGACAGTGGAAAGGAAAAACTCCCTCATTGTCACTAAAGGCTGGTGCTGGTGAACCCAATTGTGCAGGCAGGCAAGGGCTCAGGATGGATATATAAAAATAAAGGATTTATTAACAAAACTAAAGAGCTGACAGGGCAGCAAAACAAACATTGAATGATCAGGAGTATTCACGATACAGACAGGTCATCACCAGTGAACAGAAGACAATGCCAGGACAAGGAGTGAGACAAACGCACAGGTTTAAATACAGCAAACACCAATGAGACAAAGTGAAGACACCTGTGAGTAATCACAGATGCCAAAGACAGAGACTGAGGACGCAAGACATAAACACGACAAGATGGAGCTAGACACCAGGGACAAAAACCACAACTCCTACACTCATGAGGAAGAAACCTTTAGCAGAACTAGGCTCAAGACAAGCGGCCATTTGCCTAGACTACCTCATTGGTTCATTGTGGTTGACTGCTGGTCACTTGGCCACAGATAGGGATTATGGGTAAAATATATTTTCATTTTTAATATTTTGTTTTAGTTGTTTAGCATTGTACTTTTAGTGATTACTGATGTGCTCTTGGCCTAGTTTGTGTTCATTTTGGGTTTAGTTTGTATTAGTCCATTCAGTACCATGAGCGAGAGCGGTAATCATGAAGACCTGTCAGGTTCACTCTGTCTGTTAGTGTTCAACAGTAAACTAAAGTCTTTACATTGTCATCTGGTGGTTGATTCATGATCTACAACAAGAGCTTCACATCTCTCTCAGTAGCTCTGTGCTGCCACTCGTGTTACAACGTGAACGCCCGCAGCTTAAACACAAGCATGGCTGATTTATGTACAAAATAGTGTTTGTTTGTTTTTTATTTAGTGTGCGCGGCTTATAGTCAGGTGCGCTCTATAGACCGACAATTATGGTACATCTATTCTTCTCCACAGTGCAACCCCTACACACTCAAATATCTCACACCAAAAACATTTAGGTTTACTTTCATTCTCTGTTCAATTCCAGTCCAGAAAAACACTAATCTCTAAAACTACAGACATTCACTGTTCAAATCCCTCGGCGACAGGGAACGACGGGGGACAGCAGTGCACCGCTCGTTTAATCTGGTTGGTTTCCTGACTTGGAGCCAGTTTTGAGTCCACAGTCAGGTTGAGGTTGGGGCTGATCCAGAAGCTAAATGTTAGCCTCATTTATCCATTCAGAAACCAGTTCTAATATTTGGACTGAAATGTGTCCAAGTTTCAACCTTCTTGCTACTTGTTTGAGTTGAAGATTTAAGAAGTCCTCCTCCATTGTTCCATCTCCCACAGCATGACACTACCACCACCATGCTTGACAGCTGGTTCAGTGTCCTCAGATCTGAAAGCCTTACCTCGACTCCTCCAAACATCCTTCTGGTCTCTGAGGCCAAACAGCTCAGTCTTCTACATTTGTCTTGTCCAGGTGGACAGCTGCAGGTTTCAGTCTGGCTTGGGTCCACGGGGATATCAATGTTTTATTTGTTTCACCTTGAAAAACAAACAAACAAAACATTCAAATCCGTCATTAAAAGTTAACGTTGTGGATATAAACTTCTCTAAACGTCCATCACAAATTCTTCTTGAAACTCCTCCAACTTTTATCCTCATTAAAGCTTAATGTTTGTCTTTCAGGCACCTGATCATCGAAAACTTCATCCCCTCAGAGGAGAAGAACAAAATCCTCCACAGGGCTTTCTTTGACGAAGAGGAGGAGTGCTGGAAGCTGAAGGCCATCACTCGACTCGAGGAGTAAGTTACAGATTATTCTAACATCTGTGAAGCGTTCTTTGTCAGGTTAGTGAGCTCTCATCCTCACCAACTAAAGTCACTGCGAAATAAATTTAGTATTTACTTGTTTTAAACCTAAGTTACATAAAACATTTTTTTCTTGTTTTAAAAGAGCTCTTTTTACATTTTCTTGGTAAATCTGAACTTATCCAGAGCAAGTTAAGTTTCCACATCAAACAACCTTCAGAGTAAGGAAGATCTGTGAGAATGTGATAATGTAGATGTTTTTCTATTAGTGAGCCAGATTTATGATACTAAAAATTCAGAGTTGAACCTGAAGTTAACAGGATCAGACTCTAATACGGCTGTTTTACCCGGGTTCAGCATTCAAACCTTCATGTTCCATCAGGAGCTCCTGCTTTATCCTGATTTAAGGCAAACATAAAGAAAAATTATGTTTTGTCAAGTCAGGCAGTCACTGATTGTAATACTTTCATATGGAATTGGTTGAAATTTTGAAATAAATATTCCAAAACCAATAGTGACATCCAGAGTTTTGTTTCGTGGTCTCATCTACTTTATTAAATAAATCATAAATAAATGAACCTGATGTTGTTTGATCTGTTTTTCTGCTCCAGTGACCATCAAATGATGTCCAGGCCTCTTTCTGCCGTGGGTTACAGGAGGCCTCTCAGTCACCACGCTCACATGGCCATGATGATGAGGCCCGACATGAGATACAAAGTAGGCTGCACCTTTTTACCTGTTTGGTCCAAACCACACGATGTTCAGGTATACATCTGCTCAAGAAAACATGACAGGACAGGCTTGTTGTTTATTTCAAATGAAGAAAGTAAGCACGATCTAAAACTATCAGCTACATTTTCCAAATAATCAGTTTGTTCATTATAATATTTCTATAATCATTTATACTGTGATTTAACTAGAATATTAGACCTTGCCAGAATATGCAGGGTCTATTCATCACCAAATAAGGAAGAGAGATTTTCAACCGAAGTTAGCTTACATGGAAAAAACGTGTTAAAGTGCACAGATGTTATATGTCTTGGCATAAGGCCAGCCAGTGACCATGTCTAGTAAGTCTGTACGTGGCAAGTAGGAAAAAAAACAAGTCTGCTATACAAGATAAGAAAGGTTTAAAAGAGTTGGGAGGAAGTCTGTCAGTTTTTTGGGGCTTTGTTCGATATTTGATGCTGTTCCTGACTGACCTGATGTTCTTCCATAAACCTCAGTGTTTTTTCTGTCATCCAGAGACTTTGTCTCATCTATTTTTTTACTTAATATTTATTTATTAACCTTTATTTAACCAGGCAAATCCCATTGAGATCACATATTTCTTTTGCAAGGGAGACCTGGGCCTGAAGGCAACATAACATGCATGTTTTTGGTCTGTGGGAGGAAACAGGATTACCCGTAGAAAACCCACGTAAGCACAAGAAGAACATGCAAACTCCACACAGAAAGATCCCTGGTTCAATCGGGGATTGAACCCAGTACCTTCTTGCTGTGAGGCAACAGTGTTAACCACTGAGCCGTCGTGCTGCCAAATAATTACTAATAATTAATAACTTATGTTTGATCAATTTGAGCCACTACATTTTGGTGCCCAATGTGGGGCATATATATATATATATATATATATATATATATATATATATTTTTTTTTTTTTTGTGCTCACACTTTTTCATCATGCAGCTCCCTTTTAAAATGACCAAGTCAAAATGATCTACCTGTAAGCCCCGTTTACACCAGAACAACTTCTAGAAACGTTGGTGTTTTTTAATATTTATTGGGGGTAATAACCAAAAATGAGCGGGTGTACATGAAAAAAAAAACCACTGTAGTTTTCATGTTAGTTGGGTTGCCAGATAAGAAATTACGAACTATAGTCGAACATTGTTAAGTTAGGTCTTCTGGACGGTTTCTTTTTGTTGAAACGTTTCGTCCTTCATCCAAAGAACTTCATCAGTGTGAAGAGCCACAACAAACTCAGTCTCATAAGCAGCACATTCACATAGTGGACCAACCTGTTTGCTGTGATGAGATGGTTTTTGGAGTCCGCCCTCTCCCCCATCAACTCCTGTGAGGCAGCCATGGCCAAAGTGGTTCAAAACACCAAAGCTCATGGTCAGTAATCCAGGTAAAAAAAAAAATCTAATAAATTTCAGTCAGGCCCTCTGGACGATTTCTTTATGTTGAAAGGATTGATGAAGTCCTTTTGGATGAAGGCTGAAACATTTCAACAAAAAAAATAAACCTTCCAGAGGACCAGATCTCATTTTGTTGGATTTTGTACCTGAATTATTGAGCATAAACTTTGATATAGTACTGTGGCTTTAAAATGATAGTACTTTGAACTTAACTGTCATATGTGCTGAGTGAAGATATTCTACGATGAGATGTGTGTTGTGTTTGTTGAACATGTGCAAAGAAAAGGAGGGGGTAAATAAGACATTTTTTAATTTATCTGGCAACCCTGATGCTCAGCTGCATTCATTGTGTATGCAGCGTCTGCATGACAGTTAGTTCAAACTGGTGAAGACACTAACGTCTCTTTGGAGCCTGGAGTTTATTAGTTTTGCTCCAACATGCTGAAAAAAGCTGAGCAACACAAAAACACTCAGCTCTCTGCTGTTTATTATAACTGTTGTTATTTATTATAACTGTTGTTATTTATTATAACTGTTGTTATTTATTATAACTGTTGTTAGAGCAGAAAAACTTTGAACTTCAGCCTCCTGGAGTGCACATGTGCCACTTCACACTTGGAGCATTTCACATCTCCGTGGGGGGTTCCCCTGGTCT